AGGCCAGCCCCGCCAAGAAGGCCCGGGCGGAGCAGGAGGAGCCCGGCACGCCGCCCTCGTCGCCGCTGAGCCCCGAGCAGTTTTTGTGGGGCTTCCCCTTCAGCGCCCCGCTCCACTCCACCCCGCCCCGTATTAATACCAAACACGAAACTTGGGGCACCGGCCTGCTAAGTGCGGGTCTGGCCTAAGGCCTGGGTTCCCAGGGTCCGGTTTTGCACTGACCTTCCGGGTCCGCATCCAGAAGAACAAGGCCGCGGCCCTGCTGAGACTCGCGGCTCGCAACGTGCCGGTGGGCTTCGGGGAGAGCTGGAAGAAGCACCTGAGCGGAGAGTTCGGGAAGCCGTATTTTATTAAGGTCAGCGAGGAGGTCGTCGCAGGCCCAGGCCACGTTTACGGGCTATGGCTTTCGTCGTCTCCTGCTTTCCCTCCTTCGGTGTCCTTTTCACGTTAATCATGGTGTTTAGAACCTGCACATTTATATTCGTTGCTAAACTTAAGACTTAAGATGATATCGTGGCTTCTTTTAATCCATCTAGTTTGTCTGCTATCCAGGAAAGAGGGGCCAAGTAAAAACCGAGCAATGGATGGCTTGGAACCTGGCTCCGCCTTTAAATGGGGGGGCGGCGTTGGCATGAACAGGAAATCAAGACATCCAAGCCAATCAACTTAGACCCAGCCCAAAGCAAGGGGGGGAATGGAAGCCCTTGAGCAACTCCGGTGGGGAGGGAGCAGGTACTGTTATTATTTGCTGGGTTTTTCTTTAAAATTATTTAGAAATTTTACTTACTTACTTATTTATTTATTTGCAGAGAGGGAGAGGGATAGAGAGTTAGAAACATTGATGAGAGAGAAACATCGATCAGCTGCCTCCTGCACACCTCCTACTGGGAATGTGCCCGCAACCAAGGTACATGCCCTTGACCAGAATCGAACCCGGGACCCTTCAGTCCGCAGGCCGACTCTCTATCCACTGAGCCAAACCGGTCAGGGCTTTACTTACTGATTTTAGAGGTGTGCCCTTACAGGAGAGAGAACCTGCAGCCTTGGTGTGTATTGCTCTAACCAACTGAGCTGCCAGGCCCGGGCAGAAAAGAATTGGGACAGAAAACCTAGCAAAGCGTTAGCTAATGCTTCAGTTAACTTTCTGATTGAATTCATATGCTTTTCAGTGAGAATCTCATTTTAAACCTAGTTTTTTTATTTTTTCAATCAGCTAATGGGATTTGTTGCAGAAGAAAGAAGACGTTACACTGTTTACCCTCCCCCACACCAAGTCTTCACGTGGACCCAAATGTGCAACATAAGAGATGTAAGTACAGGTTGTGGGTGAATTCTTGCAAAAGAAGAGTGGGAACCAAAGAGTATTTCTTAATTAGGGACACTGGGGTTAAAACACTGTCCATAATTCGGTAACAGAATAAAATACTCGAATTGTGAGGTTTGTCAGGCTATATTTTAACCTATATTTGCTCTTTTATTTTTACCATAGACCATGTGTCTATATGCTCTCCTTTCTTGTGTTTTATTTAATCCTGAAACCAATCCCCGAGCAGTGTTAAGTATTATTGTGGTGGTGATGAGGAAGCTGAGGCATGAAGGAGTTACTCTTTTTCTGCTGGTTATAGTCAGCCCCACCTTGACTAGAAGCTCAGTATTCTTTCTGTCTGACCACACTGTCCTTTAGTCTCTTAACTTCTGGCCCAAACAGGTCTGCTGCCCTGTTACCAAAGCCCTTTGCTTTGGTTGGTTCTGCAGCCGGCTGCTACCTGGGGGCTCTGGTCATGTCAGCCTCCTGTTCAGAAGCTTGTCTGGCTTCCCACTGCCTGAACGATGGAGGCTGCATGAATATGGCCGTGTCCTACTTAACCAGCCTTACCTCCTACACCAGAATTGAACGCTGTGGCAGGCCTCTCCTCACTTCCGTCTCTTAAAACCAACTATAGATCTGTGGCGCCTCGCTGAATCCCGTTTTCCACCACCGTTGGGATCTGGTTTTCCTCGAAACCCCCCCACCCCCCAAATATGCTTAGTGTCTGCTTACACGGGAGGTTTTTACACTTCGTTCTTACCCTTTTCCCTCCCCATTTGTAAGTTGAGAGCAGGAATCCCGTGACTTAGTCATATCTGTCGAGTAGAAGTGAAATGGGTGAATAAGCCACCTTGATAAGGCTACTACGCCTAATATTTAGCAAACTTCCCAATTTTCAGTGTAGAGTAAGGACTTTGGATATAGCTCCTTGTTTCCGAAGTTAGAAAAAAACTAAGTTATTTTAAATTCAGTGCTATTCTGCCCCTTGGTTGTATAGATGTCCTCTTTGAATATCAGCGATTGATATAAATGGGGAAGAATAAGAAAAGAGCCTGCAACTGGGGATCAGATGGCCCAGAGTGGCTTTGCAAATGAGCATGTGGAGGGTCTGGGAGGTTACCTGGCTCCTCCGAGGCTGTCCCTTATCCAGCTTCCGTGCTGCGACAGGTGGCTTCGTGCAGGGGACAGGGTGAGCACCAGCAGCAGGAAGGGAGCGGCCCACGAAAGCTTCCTGAAGAGGGGGCTGTCTGAGCTGGATTTTGAAGGATAAGGTATATGTCAGTTATGGAAGAAGATTCTAAGAAGGTGCACCTTGAGCAGAAGCACGAGAATGAAGAAGAGGTGGGCGGCCTCCTGATCAAAAGGACTGGCAGTGTCTTAACACAGCCTGTGACAGTGACCTAATTACTTTCCACTGCACCTTGCCGCCTACTCCCGTGGCTCTTGACCTGACCTCGTTACCTTCTGGTTTCCTTCCTTAGAAGATCTAGGGCAGGGTGGGCAAACTTTTTGACTCGAGGGCCACAATGGGTTCTTAAAACTGGACCGGAGGGCCGGAACAAAAGCATGGATGGAGTGTTCGTGTGAACTAATATAAATTCAAAGTAAACATCATTACATAAAAGGCTACGGTCTTTGTTTTTTTTTTTTTAGTTCATTTCAAACGGGCCGTAGTTTGCCCACGGCTGAGGGGAACAGGCCCCTTCGTATGCTGCCGGTGGGGAATCCGAATTGCTTCAACTCGTTGGAAATGAAAATTTGAAATACACTTACTCTTTGACCCGCAACTCCACTATTATAAGTATTCCACAGAAATAAAAGCAACAGTGGGGAAACATACATACCAGGGTGCTTGCCGTGTGACTTTTTGTAATGGAAAACAAGCTGACTGCCCATCAGTGACTGGGCTCTGCATATTAATTTGAAGGCTAAAATGATTGATGTGAGGAGCACCAAATGTAGGGTAATGAGTACGATAACCCCAATTCTGTAGGTAATTTTAAAAAATCAGGATGAGATAGGATAACTGGGAGGTGACTGACTAGCCACTTCGAATCTTTCTGGATGGTTGTACTTGTTTTCGAGGTGTATTTACTTTTGTCATTTGACAAATGAGGAGGACGAAAGCAAAGTTGACCCTAACTTGTTTCCCATACCTGTGCCTGAAGGGAGGGGGCGGTGTGGTAGGGTGGCACAGTGAAGGAGAATTTGGTAATGGAAAGTAAGTAAGATACCAGGCCATCTGCTTTCTTCTGGGGGTTCTAGTTGGGTCATGGGTGGGGCAGGGGGGTTGCCCTTCTCGTTATCCTGTCCCTTTGTATAGGTCAGCGGTCAGCCCAGGGTTCCTTTACACTGCCTACACTAGAGTATTGTTTAATTTGCCACCTGGCATTCACAGGTGAAGGTTGTCATCCTGGGACAGGATCCATATCATGGACCCAATCAAGCTCATGGGCTCTGCTTTAGTGTGCAAAGACCTGTCCCGCCTCCGCCCAGGTACGATTGCTTCATAGATGGCTCAGGTCCCATTGCAATTACTGTCAGATGTGCGATTTTTAAGTCAGTGGTCGCCAACCGTTCGGACCTCACAGACCACCGGTTGGCGACCGCTGTTTCAAATGATCGGG